CTTCACACTCTGCCAAGTCCAGCACTGTAAGCTGAACCAATCCTACCAGATGTCCCAAGCCTGTGCTTGAGATATTGCGGCACCCATCCAATTTTAACACCAGCAATCCATGCAACTTGCCCACCTGCTTGAGGCCATTGTCAGTGATTTCTCGACATCTGGACAAGTCCAGCATGGTGAGTGTCCTCATCTCCCCAACATGAGCCAAGCCAGCATCTGTGATCCTATGACAGCCCGCCAGTTGGAGACAAGCTAGGCCTGTCAGTTTTCCCAAGTGCGCCAGCGTTGCATTTGTGCCCAGACGGCAGTCACACAAGCCCAGACTTGTGAGTGACCCCACCTTTGCTGCTTCCTGCAAATCAGCGGCCTCCACCTGGCAATGTTCCATATCAAGCTGCACCAAGTGGTGCAGGTTCTGTAGGCCCCTCAGCGTTGATCTGGCCAGCAAGTTTGCATGCTCCACACACATCTTCTGCACCCTGGGGAAAGTGCCTATCCCAGCACAGTTGGCAGGGAGCCTCTGAAATGTCACTGAATCTCTTGCCCATCGACTCCAGTGGCAGTTCACAAGCCCTGTGGACTCCAACATGGAGGCCATCAACTCTTGTTTGCAATTCAACGCCTCTTTGACAGCATCCAGCACTTTGAAAGGCAAATGCCCCCAGTCGACACTGAATTCCTCCTGATCCAGAATTCAGATTGCAACTCGCATCAAGAAGAAAAACAGCAGAATTGCTGCCTGTGGCCATTTCATGTTCCACAAATGCCGTTTTGGACACTGGCACGACAGCATCATGTGCATGCTTCTCACTCCTGGCTTCGATCAACAATTAAGTGGTGCTATCTTTGAGCGAACTTCAACTGGTAGTATCCAGGGCTGTTGGCAAGTAAACAGACACACTGGGGACAAGAAACCTAAGGATACGAATATCTCCAGAAACTGCCCTTGATGTGTGCAAGTGGGCAGTTGTTTGTCTGGAGTTTCGACACACGCTGCCCATATGGATAAACACTCACCTGCTGCATCTGAAGAGCTAGAATCTACTAAAATTTGTGAAGACAGCAGCAGCGCTTCAGCACCAGTGCCGCCAAGCCTGAGAGGTGAGCAGCGCCTTCGACATGGGCAAAGACTCCAAGGGCTGCTCTGCACAAAAACGTGATTGTGTGATTTCAAGCATCCATCCCTGAAAGGGATCCAAGCCACAGGAACACGTGCTCACAGTGGCAGGCTCTCTGCTTCGACAGGCCTGATCAAGCAAAGCATATTTTCAATGGCAGTGAACGTGGGCAGACGTCCTCTGTGCCGTTCCCCAGTAGGAAGCAGCTTGTTTGCGATGCCAACTGTGATGCCATTTGACACACATTGATGCCATCACAGCCATTTCTAAGCCACCGCAATCACTGTGACGGCACCACTTTGTGTCAGAATGGCATCACAGTTGGCATTTGCAACCATGCCGTTTTGTGCCTGTGGTTTCCCAATCCATTGATGCCCACCGCCAACGTCACGCCTCGACGACATCGCGATAGGCTGTTGGATCCAGCTGCGCGCACTCTTGGATCAAGCACTCCGGGGTTGCGCATCCTACCCCTCTCTGCATTTTTCAGATGCAAAGCACTGACAGCGTCCTTCGCCCGCGGCGCCAATGCATTTCGAAGCACGACTCCGCCACTTGCGGCGCTTTCAGCATGTCGCGAGCGCCAGTCATGCCTCGCTGATTCGAAGTCAGGATAACCCAGGGAGGTTTCGGCGAGGCAGCTGAGGAGCCGTGGATCATGACGAGGGCGGTTTGATCGGGATTGGATTGCCGCCATTGCAAGAGCGCCACCAATGTCCAGGCAGGACTCTCGGATAGCGAAAAGGCAGGTGATCCCGCCACAGCTCTCCGCCACCGACCTGTTCGCGCCGCCGGTTGTATGTCGCCTTGACCAAAGGTTCCGAACGTGGTCGCACTCCAAAAGCTGCGCCTCAGCGCGCGGCGCCCTCACTTTCATCCGCGCTGATGCTCCGTAGCAGCCACCTGCGCCAGGTAATCAACATCATCATCATTACTTTTACATAACAAGGCAATGAGGTGGCCGTCGGCTTCCGGGCCACCTGCATCGGGCCACCCCCATCCTCATGCTGCGTTGAATGGTCATTTAATGATCAAATTGATAGCGATTCATGAATCACCATCTGCATTCCCTGCCCCAGGCCTGAGGGTCACAACGGCAGTTTCACCGAATCACCTAAAGTTCACATTGCCGCTGGTGTCCTGGACCCACTGAGGGGCAAAGTGCAGCAGCCAGGAACCATACAGTCGCCACGGCTCTCCCAGTGTGCCGGACCGACACAGCTAGAGACTCTCAGGCGAAGAGTCAAGCAAGCGGTGGGCCCATATTGTTACAAGCGAGCTTGGGATGCTCGAATATGGCTAAAAGTAATTGCGACAAAGACCAAGACCCTCACACACGGTCGCTCCCACGCAAGGGAAGAAAAGCCGTAAACAGATGCGGTGTGGGACAAGCATGCTAATCAAATAGTGACTGCCGCAAATCTTCTCAGTTGGAACCCTGTTTTGAGAAAAAGTAATGCAAGGCGCAGTGCCTGGCAACAGTTTTTGGCACCATGTTTTCCTGAAAGGGTATTTTGGTAATCACCATACCACAATGCTCATGTCACCATATTTGACACCGTGATCACCATGTCCAGTCACACCATAGTTACCACCATTTCATTTGTAACTACGTGCTTATTTCTTCGTTTTCACGTTAAAATGTATGGTAGAATACATTTGATGTTCCGATTTGTTTTGGGCCAAGACTACGTCTAAAATGCGGGTAAATTTTGCACAATCAGAACCCGGGTTACCCCAGCGTGCGGAACGTGGGGGCCTCCGTCCTAGCAGAATATCCATTACATATTATTCCATCAATCAGCATCCCTGCACTAGCAATCCATGGCTTGGTCGCCTACCCCCTCTGCAACACCTTCTATGTCTCTGAAAAGTCTCTCATGCTCGACCCACACAAGAGCATATGGTGTCAATCGCCCGCTTCTTGGATGAACCAAAGTGGTGCACGGATCAAAAAAGTTTGTTGTCAACCTACTTGTCATTAGTGGCATGCAAATTCAAGCAATCAGCGGCCGTGTGCAGCTCATGCAAGAGCGCTGTCTCCTCTCTCTCAGCGTCTGGCACATTCCCACGGCGCACAGCGCCCCCAGATCCACTGGCGCCAGCGGTTGGCATCAACAGCTGACAGCCAGCCAGATGGCTGAAGGGGCGCTCATTGCCAACGGCCACAGCACTGCCACATGGCAAGCATGCAACCAACTGGGCTGTGCCATCCGTGAAGTGCTTCGCTGCCTCTTGGGGAGCTTTGGCATCGCCGCTCGCCCCTCAGTGCGCCCCTCGATTTCTTGGTGTCGTGACCTGCAGGTCGCAGGCTTCTTTGGATGCAGGTCGCAGCTCGCGCCATTGACGCAGCAGATGAAATGTCATTTGTTACAATTGCCCTAAGAAAAGGTATCAATGAAAGCGGATTTCGACATTTCTTAAATGCCCATCGGCATATGGGCATGGTTGAGTGGGGAGAGGACGACCGTTTGTTGGTCGACGTCGAGGGCGAGGTGGACGTTGTGTTGCTGGTGCTCCAGGCCTGGACCCCCAGGGGTCAGCGGAGCCATCATTCCTTGCGGCTTCGTCAGGTGACCTGGGTGTGTCGAGTGCCGTAAAAATGCGCAAGTATGGCCGTACAAATGGGCGTTTCTCTGTTTGCGCGTTTCTACATATAAAAGAGCAAACGTAAGAATGGTGCCACAAACGTAAATTACAAGCCCGTCTTCAACAGGTTAGTGGCAGTGACGCATCCATTGTCTTGCCAACAACCACATCATGGAGGCCATTTTGCAAGTGCCGACTGTTCCTCGCCATTTCACGTATCCCCGCTGTTGGGCGCAATTTTAAATCCGCTTTGTTGCCAGATTAGATGACATATAGTTCCGCAGATTAATGACTGGATCTCCTGCGAATAAGTGCGAGCGCCCAGTCGATTTACGGCTCGACCAAGTCCATCCTTTGGGAAAGGTAAGATTCATGCCATGGTCCATGTGGCACTCTAGCTCAAGCGCATGCCGGAAGCGTTAACTTAACAATCAGGCTCTTGGGTGGGTCGAGGGTAGCAGCTTGTTTGATGGCATATTCGGCGAGGCGGTGGACATGGACACAGCACACGTGTGCGCGATTTGCATGCGAGTTTGACGTGACTCTTGCATGTAATACATTTGTGCCAAATCGTCAATGTTCCACTGGTGGCAGTCGTGTTGTCCTCGTCAAAGTACCCACGATAGAGGAGTCTCTGCGATAGTTTCTTCAGGGTGGACCAATTGCCAAGCGTGCCTAGGATAAGCCCGGATGCAATGGCACTATCATTCCCAAAACAAGAGTGGTGTTCATCTGAAGAAGAATTCCCCAACCAGCGCTACAAAGACTAGGGATACAATTCCCATCAACTGTGGCTCATTGTACAGATAGGTAACGCCGGCAAATGCCACTGCGCAAGGTTTAGGCACAGTTGTAGGCTGAGAGACGCCACGTCCTCTGGCCAACAGTTTCCCAATGCACAGAGTTGCAGCAACGGCAGCTGCCCCATCGATTGGTGCACTCACCGATCTCAGCGAAATGGCACAACTACACACGAGCATGAGTTTCATGCCATGATTCAGTTGTCCATGCATTCCCAGACGATACATAAGAAGTTCTTTGGAAAACTATGGCGCGGGTTTGCGCAGAGACTGCCTAAAATTCCGCCACGAAGTCGTGCCACAACCAGTCATGTGCATGAAAGCACACAAAATTTTGTCTGCGTTTAAACGTGGTGACGTCATGCTCATATGCTCCAAACTTGTTGCTGAGGATGGTGACGATTGATCTCATAAAACAAACATCCAAATAGCCTCAGCCGTGCAGGCTGCCATATTGACAACATCCAATCCCTGCAGAATGTTCGCCAAACATCTAGATGTAAAAATCACCCCAATCTTCGATTCTGACTTGGCGATCTTCGAATTGCTTCAATCCCAGTCCAGTAACGAGCTTGCAGAAATCAAAGCTCACAGTTGCAAGTTCCGCCAACGCTTCCAAATGTGTCAGACCATCGTCACTAATCTGTGGAAAAAATATCAAGCTGAAGCGGTTTAGTGCCATCAGTTTTGCCACATGCTTCAAGCCACAATTGGTGATCAATTGGCCACGCCTCAGACGCAGGCTTCGAAGGGCTGTTAGATTCTCGACAGCTGTGAGGCCCATATCTGTGACCTCACAGCAAGGGCCAAGGTCAAGTGCTCTTAGGGCTGAGAGGTTCCCTATATGGCTCAAACCTTCATCCGTGAAGCTGACGCGCATAGTTAGGTTCAGGCTGGTCAGTGTTGCCAACTTGGCCATTGTTTCCATCCCTCTCATAGTTGTCTCTGAAGATGACAGGCGAAGATCCTTGAGCCGTGTGAGGTTCTGCAGAACCTTCAATTCCCGATCTGCAACATGGGAGCTGCCAGTCATATGGAGCATCTCCAGAGCAACGTGCTCCCCTATGTTCTCAAGAAGTGCAACATGGTGGCAGCCATGTGCTACCAAGCACGTGAGCATCCCTGATTTGGGTAAGTGTCCCAAAAACTTATGTGCACCATCACCTCCCCACCGGTTAGTAAGGTCTGTCAAAGACACCAACTTGCTCAATGGTCTCAAGCCTTCATGTGTGTTGCTATCACTCACATAAAGGCTTAAAGTGCGCATATTTGATAAATTCCCCACTTCTTGAAAGCTGTCATCTGTGATACCAGGAAGGATGAGGTTTGTTATCGTTGGTGCCAGTGACAAGTCCTTCAAACCCCTGTTCGTGATCCACGAGCAGTCCGTCAGGTCCAGGTTCACAAGAGCATTTCCCACTGCCACATGCCTCAGGCCACCATCTGTCAAACCACAGGAACCAGCCATCCGCAAGTCCGTGAGCGCTGTCAGACTTCCCAGGTGCTGCATACCCTCATCAGTGAGATTGCAATCTCCCAAATCCAACTTTCTAAGGTGCACCAGCCCGCTCAGATGTCCCCAGCCCATCCATATCCGGCGGCAACGCGCCAGCTTCAAGAACAACAGGCTTCGCAGCTTTCCCACGTGTCTCAGGCCATTGTCTGTTACTTCTCGACAATGGGACAAGTCCAGCATAGTGAGTGTCGTCAGCTCCCCGACATGAACCAAGCCACCATCTGTGACTCCATGACAGGCCACCATTTGCAGACAAGACAAGCCTGTCAACTTTCCCAAGTGCACTAACCCTGCGTCTGTGACTAGTGTGCAGTTGAACATGCGCAGACTTGTGAGTGACCCGACCTTGGCTACGTCCTGCAGAACAGCGTCCCCCACCTGGCAATGTTTCAGGCTAAGCTCCAGCAGGTGCTGCAGCTTCTGTAATCCACTTAGCAATGAACTGCCCAGCATGATTGCACGCTGCAAAGTCAGCTTCTGCACGTATGGGAACGTACCTATGCCCACACAGCTGGTGGGGAGCATTTGACACGTCACTGAATCTGTTGACCACTGGCTCCAGTGGTGATTGACAAGCCTCATGGACTTCACAGTAGGAGCTGTCCACTCTGCTCTCCCTTGCAACAGGTTCCTGATGGCGTCCAGCACTCCAAAGGGTAGTTGCCCCCAATCTGCACGGATTTTTTCCTGATACAGATCGCACAATGCAACTGGTGTCAGAAACGTGAACACTGCAATTGCTGCATGTGCAGCAGCTGCTTCCAGCGCTACCAACCTCGGTTGCGGACTGTGGTGTGAAACCGTTGCCAGCACGCTTCTCAATCCTGACTTCGGTCAACACGTACCATGAGACAATCTTCAGGCATTCTTCAATTTGATGACTCCAGGGCTTCAGCAGGAGTGCAGACGTTTTGGTGGCAAAACTGCAGCCATGAACTGCTCCGGACATCGGCCCCAATACATACAGGGCAGTGCTATGCCTGGAGTCTCAACTACTGCAGCCAAAGCGTATAACCACTAACCTGCTGCATTTGAAGAGCTCTACTCTTTAAAGGAGCTGCGAAGACAGCTGCACCGCCTCAGCACCAGTGGTTGCTAGCCTGGGGGATGACCAGCGGCTGGGATAGGGGTGACGTTTCAACTGCCCAATCTGCCCACGAACGTGAAAGCGTGACTTCATGCATACCGCTGGCGAGATCCAAGCAACAGCAACACCAGTTCACAACGGCATGTGCCTCCTTTAGCAAGCCTGCTCAAAACAAAGCATGTTTTATTTGGGAGTGCACGTGGAAAGTCGTCCGTTGTGCCGCACTGTCGCTCCTTTTCACCTTCAAACAGGCAGCTGCCTCGTCTGCGTGCCACGCAGCCTGGTTCAGATGCCCAGGGCACAGTAAGTGGGCGCCACACGGAGGGGCGCAACGTTTTTGGAGTGTGACCACGCTTGCAACGTTTGGCCAAGGCGAAGTACTGCCGCCGGAGCGAACGGGTCGGTGGCGGAACGCTGTAGCGCCGGCGGCCGGCGATTGCGCAATCCGCGAGCACTGCCACGGAATTAGCGGCCCCGCATGTGGGTGTCACTTATTGTCGAGCCAGCCTGTCTGTTCAGCCCTCGTCTTGATACACGTCTCCCAGCTGGTTTTGCCGAAGTACTTACTGGACTGGGCTGGCTTCGAATCAGCAGGGAATGACGCACAGTTAAACAGGTAAGGTTACTAATATCAAAAGTACATGGTTCCGGCGGGGTGCTCAGAAAATCGCCACACTGGCGCCTGCGGCATACTCATTGACTGCATGCGTGCCGCGGGGCAAGGAAGTTGCCCCAACACCCGCAGAAAGTGGCAACCGGCAGTGTTGGCCCCCCAGAGAGCTGAGATTACCTGGCTCTAACAACCTGTCATGTTGTCGCCTGGAGAGGATTTGCTGGCCGCAGGCATCCATGGACTGGGATGCTTTTGTTCCATGGAAAACAACAACCTTCCCACAAACATGCTTGGAATGCACAGGCTCTGTCGGAGTGGCAGGCTCTGCGCCACAATTGTTGGAGCAACGTCAAATTTCGCTGGGAGGATTGTCGTTGACAATACACCGTAAGAACTCCCTTGGTAGATGGCAATATGGGACAGAAGCGTACAATGATTTGGCGCTATGACGGCATCACAAACATTTTGACTTCCCATTATGGGAAATCACAAGAAACAATGATACATAATGGTTGAAATTGAAATATGAAATGTTTTATGTCGGTGTGCAAAATGATGCGCTACGATGAATAATCGATGTATGATACTAACCATGTTTAGTACGATTCTTTAACAATAATTATAGAAATTCCAATGAAGGGATGGAGGGTGATGGAAGGGTATGGTGTGTTGAAGATAAGCACTTAGCACTCATTAATGTGTCAGTTGAATAGATTCCCCCAGGAGCAAATTTTTGCATTAATGCAGTCAAAACCAGGACAATGTGAATATGCAGATAGCGCAAGTCACCACCGCTGATTCGCAGTCAGACCAATCGCAGGGATGTTTATCGAGACAGCTGGGGAGCCGTGGATCAATACGAGAGCTGTCTAATCGGGACTGGAATGCCGCCCAACGTGGTACCGCAAAATTGCGAGGCAATGCTGGCGAATTGCGAAAAATCGGCACTGCCGCTACAGCGTTCCACTGCAGACCTTTTCCCCCTGCCGGCTGTCTATTGCCTTGGCCAAAGTTCTTGAGCGCGGTCGCACCCCGAAGCTTTGCCCCTCAGTGTTGCACTCGTTTGTAGTGCTTATTGGGCCTGCCTTTCAAACGAGAAGCGCAGCGACGGTGCTTACATTTTACAAGAACGAAGCCTTTCCGCAAATTTTGTACTTTTAAAGTACTTGGATTCCAGACCCTGCCGCAGTTATTGGAACCAATGTCAAATTTTGCGGGGAGGATTGCTCTAGACAACATCGGATTAATCCAGGATTAATCCAGACAATACTGCCGTTGAAAACGCACAGAAAGAACTACCATGGAAAATGGCGATCTGGGGCAGAAGCAGACGATGGTTTGGCACTGCGACGACGAAGAGGTCCTGAGCCCATCACAATTCATTGTATTTGTACTACTGGTATACGTAACTTCTTCCCGACGTATGGGCTCGATATGTGGAAATAAGTTCAACACTCGTTGGCATTGGCCAATTCAATCATCACATACATATCGATGGCATGCCTTACGCGCGCACCCAGTGCAAATAACCACCCAACAGAATTGCGGACATGTAAGGAATGTACACCTTGATTGAGCAGTCAGGTTTGAATCCAACACTGAAGTGAAATTGGCGCACTTGCAATATGTATGGGCAATACGTACCACGCGAAACATGGCTGCAACTGGATTCACACTGCGGCTGCGGACTATCCGTACTCGCTGTTCTTGAGAGTTGTTTCTTTAGCTGTACAGCGTGACTCTCAACCTGGGACCCCTCCAGACCAACGAAATTATACAATTTGCGGTCATCCTTTCATCAAGACACAATTCCGCTTCAACTTTGATTGCCTATTCATTCCATCTCGCATGAGCTACGTTGTTGCGTCTTCATTGAATATATCACTTGAATATTTCAGCTCTCTTCTTATAAAAACAAACATTTTACACACAACTCTTTTTATTTTTGCTCTCCAATATCTCTAAGCACTTCAGTTCTCTGCGCACCTTCAATGGGAATTGCGCAAAGAACAATGTACAATATATTGCAATGTGTTGAACTGAACGACATGAAGAAAAAGATTCCCTCACTTAGCGGACCAAAGCAAACCAAAATAACAATGATTCCGTGCTCAACAACATGTGGCGCACCTGAGCGGCTAGCGCATTATTTATTCCACACCTTACAACCTATCTCTCGCCCATAAAGAATCTGCTTAAGGGGGAATCATGTCCGCGCAGGAGGTTCAACATATAGAACTTACATTTAACATTCAACCATTAGCGTTGGCTGCCTATGCAGCAATGGTGAAAGGCGATCTTAAGTTTTGTATCGGAAGAAAACAACCAAGGCGGCCTCAACTTTCGGTACTTCCACACTGACAACATCCCAATATTTCCCGAGTGTGTTCACCAAACATACAGCTACTAGCCATGGCCCCTTTTTTTCTGGTGAGGACTTGGTGATCCTTGTTGAATCCGTACTCAGTGGCATACGGCAGTGATCAAAGGTCACAGTTGGCAATTCCGCAAAAGCACCAAATGAGCCACACCATCGACATTGATCTGTTATATAGTGTTAAACCGAAATGTCTCAGTGCCGCCACTCTAACTACACACCCAAGTCATCAATGTTGCCCCAGCGGCCATCGCAGTTACATAGACTTTGAAGGTCTCTTATGTGGTCCACAATTTCCAGCCCACTTCAGCGATATCACCGCAGGAGCAGCAGGTGAGTGTATCTAGATTTATTACCTTCTCCATATGGCTCGAATCATCATTTGCGAACTTAACTATAATGCTCCCTCCGTCCCAGAATATTTGTCGTCCATTCGGAAGACAAAATTCATTACAAGTAAGGCCTCAAATTACACAACAGAGTAAAAACTCAAAATAATAGGTCCAAAAACCCTTAACTACCAATTTCTAAGAAGGGAAGTTAGACATGATTCCTTTGAGCGTTAGTCGAAATGGAAATTTGGGTCGTTTTTGACCCCAAATATCAAAGTTTACAGCTAGAAAGACCCTTCATGGAAAATATTGCCAAATGCTCAGTATTTGGTGGATTGAATTGAAATTTTCGAGTACATTTCAAACTCGCAAGAACAGCTCTGGATTCCAGTTCATTGAAAATCGGTGTATATATGATGGAGAAAAATACCCCAAATTCATAGAAGACAATTAATCTGGGAGGGAGGAAGTATAAAACTATGCAACATGCATTGGACATTTTAAGCTTCAGGTTGGTCAACTCTTCCAGCTTGCCTCTGGTTCCATTCCTTTCATCTACGCTCTCTGCGATGCCATCTATGATCTCAAATCCATGCTACATTTGAGCGCGCTTGGGCTTGATAATTTTTGTGTTCAAAGCTGCCTGTGCATCAACTTCCTTGTTGCAAAAACGACCAAGAGCCTTGAGCAAGACTCGGGTGCAAACCTTGGAAGCGTTGTTCAACACTGCAACCTCGTGCTCCACAGTGCAATTGCTGTGTTTGATGCATCCCAGTAGGCATTGAACTAATTCCATTCCCGACTGGCTGCTGCACATGTGGTCCTGGCTTGCCATGCGTTTTTGCAGTCCCTGTGCATTCCTGTTCCAAACGTACACATGCGTTGTCCATCTCCCTCACAGATTGTTCGTGTTTTGTCTGGTTTATCAGGCCCAAAATGGTATCACAACTAGTCGCCTGCACACAAGACAAGATACTGCTTGAGAATAGTATGCTGAGCACTCGATGAACGCTAGGGGAGAGGGTACAGGGAGCGAACACTCACAAATATGCATTTCAACAAAATCAGAGCAAGACAGTGAGAGGCCGAAATGACCTGCCTTGAGTGCCAAAAGCCCCTGCGCTCATCTTGCTTGATGTGCACCTTTGCACCCACGACAAACAAAGTGGCGTTGGTGGCCTACTAACGCTCGTGCGCGAGCCCAGGGGCCAAGCAGCGAGCTAAGCTGACGATCTGGCTGAGGTCCAGAAGGGCAGACACATTAACCATCAGTGACGCAAGAGTGACTGTAACCATCAACAGCCATTGGTGCCCCGCACCTTGGGTTTGCCGGCTCAAATGGCCATGAGTTGATGTTCAGCATGAGAAACGGCAATCGTCGTTTCTCGCGAGGAACCTCCTCGCGAGGAGGGTGAACTTTATAGCACCTAATTAGGGAGAACTGATGGTACTAATTAGGGAGACCGCCTGATGAATCCCTGATAAGGGAGAGCATTGATGGAGGCGTATTTTACCGTATTATTATGCTATTCCGTATCTGCATCTCCCATGTCTAGCAGCAGCCATCGGGGGAGGGGATTGGACGCTGCGTGCCAAGCTGGTGCGTCGATGAGGAAGCACTG